CACACACACACACACACACACACACACACACACACACACACACACACACACACACACAAACAAGCGCGCACACACGCATTAGTTTATGTCTAGGTTACCTACACAGCGTGCCACACCCTAGAGGTGCGTATGTCTCTAACAACCGATGTCTCTAACAACTATACGTACCCGCAATCAGCTAACGCAACGGCCAGTAACAGCATGCCAGCAAGCCTTGCCGTCATTTCTACGCAGTAGATCATGATGCCGAGCAAGTATATGTCGCAAATGATTGATATATGTCTCTCTCTCTAGCACGCGTGCGTCAGTCTCAGTCTTCAATGTAAGCCTGTCCGGCTCACTACTGCTGTTTTAACCGGGTCGGAATAGTGTGCTTCCACGAACTATAACTCTCCATAAATTTCCCCAGAACCTCGGGGCGTTCCATGAAAACACCTGTTCTAATCGCTGCTCTACGTATACCCGGTAAAAAGTATTTATAGAGAAGAGCGAGAGAGTCGTGACTCTATTATGCGAAACACGCACGCGCATGCGCAGTCGTCTTGTCCCCGCGATATTTTCTCGCCGAGCCTCGCTATCGCTTTTTTAATGGTGTTTAACAATGGGTTGCCATGGCATGTTGTTTACGTAGATACTTATGAAATTGATATTCATATCGCTATCGTGTATGATATGGATTTCTCAAACACACCCACATGAATAACGTGTTTACATATTCAACAATGCTGGTCTTATTAATTCGTCGCGATTACTTTTGTGCTTTCTTGCTCAAATTCTTCTTCTCATTCAAATTGTTTTGTTTTTTATAACTTTCTTTATCCTGGCCGTCTATGCGTTTAGATTTTCGTTTCCCTAACAGCAGATGAATATTGATCAGGTTTTAAGTTATTACAGGATGTTTCTCATTCTCTGCAGCAGCGGGTCAAAGATATTTGAAAGACAAACTGATGATGTGACGCAAATTTCTTTTGTTGCTCTTGTTTTCCGTTAAAAATAGTAATGTTTATATTTAATAGAAATACATAATCCAAGAAAAAAACCGTAGACCGTAACAGTAACGGCGCCCACATATTTTTTTAAAACTATTTGATGGTGAAATATATGCACAATGGTTGATGTCTGCTCTAATATATTGAACGTCATCGTTATTGAGAGACAATATGCATAACTGGCGTGTCATTGATACGCCATTCGTTATCATTTGTAACCTATGCTTTAATAGTAACAATAATTTGTCCCATATGTATTAATAATTACAATAATTAGGCGCCTATTCCTTAATAAAAAAATAGTTAAAGACACATCGTCTAATAACTGTTAATAATTATAGATGCCTTAACTACTAACAAAATATAACAATAATTAGAACACGTACTTTCGTAACTAGCAATAATAAGGCGCCCATGTCAAAGTAAAAAATAACTAACAACAATTATATTAGGCGCTCGAATCATAATAAATAACAATACTAAGGCGTCC